TTTGGGAGGTTTTTGCTATAGGGCACATGCACTGGTCAGAAAGATGGAGAGAGACAGAGAGACAGAAAGCGAGAAATCGCCTCGGGGGGAGGGGGTGGTGGCCATGCTGCAATCCTTTCTCCTTCATTCTCCTCTCAGGATCTTAGGCACGTGTGCCCTTGTGCCCAGCATGAGTTTACGCTACTAGGTCTGGGACTTGAACTGCAGTTGACCACATGGGAGTTCAGCAACATAGCCATTACGTCAACTGCTGGTCCCAAAAACCTTTATTATTTAAATAATAATAATAATAACATTTATCTTCTGATTCTTTTCCATGATGGCTCTAAGGAAGTAGAACAAAGATCATAGGTACAAGTTCTAAGATTCATTCCCAAAACAACAGAGTTTTGAACAGAGCTGCTCAGAGATGAAGACTAGAGGTGACTCATGTATTCAAGCCTAGCTTGGAGGAGTTCTTAGAGAATAGGTTCAGGCAGCTGATGGTATTTAAACCTGAAGATTCTGTTACTTGATGATTGATTTTCAGGATGTCTAAACGAGAAGTATAGTCAAGAATGAGGAATGGGAGCCAGCAGGTGGCATGGTGGTTAAGGGCACTGGACTCGCACATGACCGACCATGGTTCAAGTCCCAAACCTCACGACTTGCTTTCTCACTTTCCTCTCTCCCTCCCCAACCCCTTTCTTTCTCTCACCCAGTCCCTCTCTGGTCAAATTAAAATAAATTTAAAAATAGAAAGTTAAATCTTAAAAAAAATAAGAATGAGGAATGTCATATGATTTTATTTGGGATTATACCTGAAATAAACTTTATGTGTTTCTTTCAGATAACAGATAGCACGTTAATCCAACTTTCTATACACTGTCCTCGACTTCAAGTATTGGTGAGTGTGATTTTCAAAGTTTTGTCTTTATTGGACTTAATTAGAACCATGTGCTGTAGTACTAGTTAAAGTAGAAACTCCTCTCTTAATTTTCTTTGCCAAATTACCAACTTACACAGAATCAAAAGAGGATCTGAATTAAGTGAGAAACTGAGACAAGAACTGGGAAAGTTAAATGTTTCTGTATCATTGCTTGGAGACTGAAAACTGATAGAGAAGTGAAAATTCTCTCTCCCATATGAATTACACTCTGACCTGAATATTTAAATTTCTAGAGACCAAGGGGATGAGATGGCTCAAAATACAGTTTGCTCCATCTTGGGATCAAATATTCTTTTAAAATAGAACCAGTCAAGGCATTACTAGGGAGCGTTCTCCTTACACCTACTTTCAGTGACACTGTAGAAAGGCATTCTGGCTGTCTGTTCTGTATCCAGGCTCATTTTTTTTGGTGTGTTTAATAGCATAGTACTACCCAAAATTGGGTTCTGAGTTTTCCAGAATCAGAGATTTAAGGAAAGTTAACAAGGAGAGTATGTGATGAGATGACCTTACCTGACAGCTGTAAAAAATCATCGTAAGTTAATTTATAATTGAGGCATGCCTCTGTACCAGATTTTTAATATTTAGTTCAAATTTTTAAAAAATTAATGCATCAACAGCTTGGTCTCCACTTGTCCCTATAGAGAATGAAAGTGTTAATTTGGGGGGAGGGGTAAGTTTTAAGGCTATCTTATTAGTATATGAACTAGTTTTCACAGTGAATTCACAAAATGTATTTAGAGTCGCCCATAAGATTGTCAATCATTGATTGCCAAAAGCAGAAATCTAGCAATTTTAGTTTGCTTCATTTTACCACGTGGATCCACTCACGGTTCTATATTCATCAAAATCAAACCAGAAAGGTCTCCTTTCCAGTTTGACACAAGCCTCTGGCTAAAGGAATGCCAGAAGATATTTCAGCATCCTTCCTTGCTCTATTTGATTTCAGAGTCTGTCTCACTGTGAACTGATCACAGATGATGGAATTCGTCACCTGGGGAATGGTGCCTGTGCCCATGACCAGCTGGAGGTGATTGAGCTGGACAACTGCCCACTAATCACAGATGCATCCTTGGAGCACTTGAAGAGCTGTCACAGCCTTGAGAGGATAGAACTCTATGACTGCCAGCAGATCACGCGGGCTGGAATCAAGAGACTCAGGGTAAAGATGGCTGCATCACTCTCCAGCTCCGATGTTCTCAGCACCCTTTCTTTTCTTTACTTTTTTTTTTTCATATTTAGATTCCTGTGGTTTTTATATGTATGTGGACACTTCGTAAAGAGAAACAAAACAGAGAGCAAACCTCTAAGGATAGATAGTTTTTACGTGGTTGCAGGTGGAAATTTAGTAGGAAAATACCTACTGAAGGGAAGAGAAGTAGGTCCTCTCTCAGCAGTCTCTCCAACCCAATAACATACTTAGAGTTTAAAAAGAAAAACAAAAAGGAAAAATTAAAACACACCTCCTAGATTTTGGAAAGGAGTAATATAAAGTGTTTGGTTATATGGTATTAAATAATTCAATTTTCATTTTCACATCAAACCCATTTTCTGGGGCTTTACTTATTTTTATTTATTTCAGTTTTGCTTTAGGGTGTGTGTGTGTGCACTCATTGGAGAGGGAGAGATGGGGTGAAATTGAGAAATCACTCCCCTAAGGGGATGGCCACACTGCAGTCCCTTCTTCTCCATTCTCTTCTCAGGATTTTGGGCATGCACACACATGAACTTGGAGTGTTTTTTAGGCTACTGGGGCCAGGACTTGAGTCGTACAGTTGGCCGTGTGGGATCCAACTGCTTTAACCACTATACCACTGGCTGGCCCAGGTTTTTACTTTTGAAGATAAATGAATCAAGTAGATTTTACCTTTTCTTTTGACCCCATCCCTCATAATATAGACCCATCTATAGTCAAATGACTAGAAGACAGGTTGCTAGCAAAAAAGCTGGTAAATCTATATGTTACATTATTCAGCTCAACAGATATTTATTGGAACATCTGCTTATACCTGCTGTCAGAAAGGCACAGCGTTTAGTTAGACCCTTACCACAAACCTCTAAAACAGAATCCATGTTGGCCATGTGGCCCTGAACAAATAAAGGAGCATCACATCCTATCTTGAGTTCCAGTATGCCTCAGTTCCTCCTCTTGCTTCATACATAGAGGACTGAGAGTATAACTGTAATGTAAGAGGCCTTGCAGCTGTTTCTTTTACACCAAAAGAGAAGGAAAGCCATAAGTTAACCAGAGCTTTATTTATTTGTTTATTTTAATTTGACCAGAGAGGGACAGAGTGAGAGAAAGAACAAGAGAGAGAGAGAAAGTGAGATAGCAAGCCACCAGCTCCAGGACTCAAACCACGGTCAGCCATGTGGGAGTCCACCACCCTTTAACCACCATGCCATCTGCCAGTCCCAACCAGAGCTTCTTAAATGGCCTACTGTCATTGGATTTCCACACCTGCCTTGCTATCGGGAATCTCTATCTCTGAATCCTCAGGAAATGGATCTGTTATATGTTCAAGTCACTTAACACTGATTTACATTAATTTAGCTATTAATGTATATGTATTAAACTATAAAACTCCCTGAGAGGAGGCTCCTCATCGAGAACATCTTTGTACTCCTCGCACATTGCCTTGAACATATTATAGTAGGTATTCAGAAATAGTGAAGACTAGAAGCGTGTTGTTAAAAGAGGCTGAGGTTTGTTTTTCATTTGTTTGTTTTTTGTTTTAATATCATCCACAATGACTTGGTGAAAAAAATAACTATTTTAAACTTACATATACGTAAGTTCTTCCAGTGTGGAAATCCAACTTGGAATCCCTTTGGGACAAATAAGAAATTGATATGATGTTTGTACTCAGTCTTATTATAGAAATAGGTACCAAAATTATATGAGTTTGAGTTGGTCATTTAGGATGAAACAAAAGCAGAATCCAGGCCTCTCAATTTCCTGACAAGCACTGAGCCTCTGCCCTGCTTTCATGTCCATTTAGTCCTCTAGGAGTTTCTCTAAGAAGCAACATTGCTATTTCTGTTTAAGCCCTCTCTTAGTAATGTTTTTGTCTTGTTTCAGACCCATTTACCCAATATTAAAGTCCACGCCTACTTCGCACCTGTCACTCCACCCCCATCAGTAGGGGGCAGCAGACAGCGCTTCTGCAGATGCTGCATCATCCTATGACAATGGAGGTGGTCAACCTTGGTGAACTGAGTATTTAATGACACTTCTAGAGTTACCGTGGAGTCTCTCCAGTGGAAGCGACCCCAGTGTTCCAGGCAAGGGTTATAAAGTGAAGGCAGTGTCCAGCTCCCCAGAGCCACACATACATATGCATACACACCCTCACCCCCATTCACTCTAGCTCTGTGACCATGGAACTGAAGTTTGTGCTGGCTCTATCAAATGGATTGGTAAAACTTCACCATTCCTGTTGGACATGCCAGAAGAAAATCATAGGCCAATGTAGAGGGAGGGGGCATTTCAGCAAACCCAGTGTTACTGGTATGTTTTGTTAAGGGTTTCTTTGGGGATTTCAGAACACCAACTGTAGTCCTCCAGGGAAAAGGAAAGCATGGAAAAACAATATATGATGTATCCAGGGACCAGAAAGAAAATTTCTTTGCATCCTAGAAATGGTAGCCATCCATTGTGAGATGGCTACAGAGCTGCTGTGCTTCCTTGTTACCATGCCAACATGCTGAGCATGCTCACAAAGAAGGCTCTTTCATTCCTCCCATGTTTTAGCGTTTGGCCCAGAGGTTTCCTAAATGCTTGCATTGAAATCGCTGTGGTCCAGATGTGATTTTCTATTCACCCAAATTGTCACTGACTATAGCACACTTGTGCACCTGTCTTCCATTCTTTGTTGGCTCCTTCCTGCATTCTTGCTCAGTCTGTCACCTATTCACAGTCTGCTTACTCACATTCAATTGTTACTCTTTTGCAGTTGTTGTGTTTACAGTTTGCATTTGGATGATTAGTTGGGGTTACCAAACATTTTTAAAAGAGACATTATCAATAAATATTTTTTTAATTCTTAAAATTTTACCACTAGGGGACCCTGCCTGAATCTTTGCCAGTCTGAGAGAAAACTAGCAAAAACAAAAAACATTATGAAAAGAAATAGTTAAAACTATTTTAGTGAAAACAAAACTTGCCTTTTGGTTTCTGTTCTATCTTACAATATATGATAATTTGCATGATATGCCCAGTGTTCCCCACTGCACATTTTTCCTTCTGTCAAACTCCATAGCTTTATAAGGATAGAGAGAAATACATTGTTAGTAAAGAGTGGAGTGGCAGATCCTAAAACTGAGTCTGAAAATCCCAATACCCACACACAGACATGAATGAATGACATGTTCACTGAAATCCAGGGTGATTCATGGCAGCTCTGATCTGTGTCTGTGCGGTTACTTG